CCTCTGCGGAGATTCGCGTCGTCGAGGTTCAGAAACTCAGGACTTTTTACGATTTTTAGCATGCGCGCGCGACCCTCTGCGGAGATTCGCGTGGTCGAGGTTCAAGAACTGAGGACTTTTTACGATTTTTAGCACGCGCGCGCGATTCTCTGCGGAGATTCGCGTGGTCGAGGTTCAAAAACTGGAGACTTTTTACGATTTTTAGCATGCGCGCGCGACCCTCTGCGGAGATTCGCGTGGTCGAGGTTCAAAAACTGAGGGCTTCACACGATTTTTAGCATGCGCGCGCGACCCTCTGCGGAGATTCGCGTGGTCGAGGTTCAAAAACTGAGGACTTTTTACGATTTTTAGCATGCGCGCGCGACCCTCTGCGGAGATTCGCGTGGTCGAGGTTCAAAAACTGAGGACTTTTTACGATTTTTAGCATGCGCGCGCGACCCTCTGCAGAGATTCGCGTGGTCGAGGTTCAAAAACTGAGGACTTTTTACGATTTTTAGCATGTGTGCGCGACCCTCTGCGGAGATTCGCGTGGTCGAGGTTCAAAAACTGAGGACTTTTTACGATTTCTGCGGTGCGCGCGCGACCCTCTGAGATCGTGCGCGTCGAAGCGCTCTCGCTGTGGCGCCGTGCAGTGTTCTTGCTCGCGAAACGGGTTTTGGAAGTTGTCTCGTGGTTTGCGCGCCTGCTTTCGCAATCCCGCGGTCGCGGGTTCGATTCCCTCCTGGTCCGCGGCAGCTCCGGCTTGAAAATCGCAGCTGTTAAGTACAAACGTAGTACGCGGAGCGTGCTCCTGCAGCTCCGGCTGGAAAATCGTAACTTTTAAGTGCAAACGTAGTACGCGGAGCACACCCCCGCAGCTCCGGCTTGAAAATCGCAACTTTTAAGTACAAACGTAGTACGCGGAGCGTGCTCCTGCAGCTCCGGGTGGAAAATCGCCAGTGTTAAGTACAGACGTAGTATGCGGAGCGTGCTCCCGCAGCTCAGGCTGGAAAATCGCAACTTTTAAGTACAAACGTAGTACGCGGAGCACAGCCCCGCAGCTCCGGCTGGAGAATCGCAACTTTTAAGTACAAACGTAGCACGCGAAGCACACCCCCGCAGCTCCGGCAGCACTTGCGCAGAGCAACTTGCGCAGAGTCACTTGCGCAGAGCAACTTGCGCAGAGCAACTTGCACAGAGCAATTGCACAAAGCACTTGCGCAGAGCAACTTGCACAGACCAACTTGCACAGAGCACATGCGCAAAGCGCTTGCACGGAGCAACTGGCGCAGAGCCCTTGCGCAGAGCAACTTGCTCAGAGCACTTGCGCAGAGCAACTTGCACAGAGCAGGCGCAGAGCAACTTGCACAGACCAACTTGCGCAGAGCACATGCGCAAAGCGCTTGCGCGGAGCAACTGGCGCAGAGCACTTGCGCAGAGCAACTTGCTCAGAGCACTTGCGCAGAGCAACTTGCACAGAGCACTTGCGCGCAGCAGCTTGCAGAGAGCAACTTGCGCGCAGCAGCCTGGAACACTGCAGCTTGCGCAGACCACTTTCGTGAGAAGTCGCGCGGCGCAGTTCGAGAGGAAAGTAGGATGATGAGATGGAGCTCTCATGTGACCATACACACTGAGCATCGCCGCGCGCAGACACGCTCGCGGCAGCAATGTAAAAAGGTGTCTCCGCAGCTGGATGAGCGCCTGTGGAAAAATGCTTTCGGGCCAATCGTCCTCTAGTTCGGACCCAAATATGTATGGTTGCTGATCAACGATCTGTGAGTTGCTCCTGGACTGACGTGGACGGACATTAGTTGTTATCTCAACCCGCTTTGCGCGCGAACTTTGGGTGGCACCCCCCAATGAAAGTTCACAGAGCCACTTTGGACTGCATCTCGATGGCAGTTGCAAGGAGTATTGTTCATTGTCCACTTTGTATGGCTTGGTTGACATGAGGGACTCTGAACACTTCCCACTGAAACAAGGGGACGGTTCTAATTTTCCCATGTCCATCGCGCTTCTGGGTGTTTCTCAAGATCTGGACGCCCTTGTGGTTGGTGTTCAAAAGGAAACCAAAAGGAAACCAGCCATTCTCAGGGATCGCTATTTTGAGAATCCCTTCCCTCCCCCTTATGGCTCATTTTCACTGCGGCGCACGTGTGCACGCCTTTTTCTGCAGGAGCCCGTGCGACTAGCTGGGCCGACGGAGCTTCAGATAGGCTTCGCGGCAAGTCTACAGGGGGCTTGTCCGGAAAAATGGTTTCTTTCCTGTTGGTTGCGCGAGAGCTCCCCAAAAGTTGTTGGGCTCTTTCTTAGCCGCCTTGGGCAATTTGAAGGGGCACTCCAGTGAAACTAATCATTTGCCAGTTGATTTGCCGTGTTGCTTGCCATATTTGGAAAATCCATCCATGCGAGGCCCAGTGCGCAGCTGGCCGGCAGAGCAGCCGTCGTGCTCCAGTGTGGGGCAGCCGAGGTGTGCCTGTCAAGCGGATCCCGTAGTCTTTTGGGAAGCTGCTTTGTCAGAAGGGAAGTAAAGAATGTTCGACTCTTGCCTTTTCACGACATTTGGAGTAAACAGCGAATATCCATCACAGCATCAGTTGATGTTTGTTGAAGCCTCAAGACAGTCATGCAAATAATTTGAACTACTCAGATGCTGGCGGCAACTCGTGGATTTGATGACCCGCACGTGTCCTAGATGAGCCACGGCCAAAATTCACAGCCATCTTCTGTACTAATGAGGAGGATGACATGGACACTCACCAACCTGCGCAGAGGAAAGGGGGGCTGAGCAAAATCCCATGGTGACACGGGAAGAGCCCCAGTCCGGACAGGCACGTCTTCGCCACCCCCCTGGGATTCCTGCCGCTTGGTGTGGGATCAGCTGTTTGGAGTAGTTGGGATGGGTGCTGCGTGATTTTGGGCTGCGTTCCCTTGACGAAGGCGCCGGAGGCTGGCTCCCACCAACCCAAACCACCAATGAAGGCTGGCTGACGTTTTCAACACGCATCATGCAAGGGTGACTTGACAAGCGAAAGGAGACCACTTGAACTCCAGTCCAGCCAAGTGGTAGGCCATTTCGCATCGGTGGCAGGAATCAACAGTAAGTGGGCTTTTTTAAGGACACTAGGGCGACAATGCAAAACTTGCTTCTTCTAGGTATGACAAGGCCTTTGTTATGCAAACTTGCACCAGACGCATCTATCAAGAGGACAAGCATCTCTCCCGAATCATTCTGCCAATGCCATATCATCCTCAAGCTCCAAGAGCTTTTGCCAGAGATCCACCAGGGACAGTGCTTCAACCCGCTGAATTGAAACCACCTTTCCGCTGCCTTTGTTATTCTCTTCCATTTCTAGGTTGGGCATTTGTGCAGCCAGAAGCAAAAGGAAACGGGCGCATCTCTTCGGAGCCAGTCCCCCGCTCGTGAGGCACGCCTCAGAGCTGAACCTCCGGGACTGGCGGGCCACGCTGCAGCGCTTCAGCGCGGCGGCGCAGGCGAAGTTCGCAGAGGCCAATGGGGCCGAGGGCGCGAAGGGCGCGAAGGGCGCGGCGAAGGTGTTAGTCTTTTTGGGGCAGGGTTTTTATACATGTCGCAGGCCTAAGGGGAAGACCACTTTGTCTTGTTGGAAAGGGGGTTGTGCGCTTCCATGCTTGTGAGGAGTGAACTCGCGTGTGAACATCTATTTGGTCGTTTGGACTGGTGGTTGGGGGATTGAATTTGATTCTCGTAAATGGGAAACCACCCCACCAATTACAGGGCAGCCGACTGTTGGATGTTTTAAAGGGAAGCCACCCTCATTTTAGGGTTCCCCTATCCAAGTGGTGAGGGAAGCTTGTCGGGGGGTCGGGCTTTCTTATGCCTAGTGTCGTTTTTGTTTCCTGTTTGCCGTTTGTGCCCCTTGCCCCATCTTCATGAGTTGTCTTCATTGTTCTTTCTTCCTCTTCCTGGTTCGCTTGTTTGCTCCCCCGTCTTGGGATCAACCGCCTTGAGATCATGTTTGCTGCCCTTTTGTTCCCCAGACATCAGGAGACAGTATCGACCTCGCTTCCGCTGCTTTGCGAGTTGCGTTTGCCAGGTGCAGCGTAAGAAGAAGCAATCGTTTGTGGACTTGAACAACCACTTCTTCTCCAGTCAGGACCAGAGTTGCCACAGGCTGAACAAAGGCTTGCGGCTTGCTGGCCAGCAACATTGTCCTGCAACTTTGTTGTTAGCTTTTGTCCCGCGCTTCCTTTGATTTGGCAGCAGCAGTCACCATCTCTTCTTTTTCACGAATGCGTAGCGGAAGGCTTCCCGTTTAGAGGTCGGGGGGTCTGGGGGTTAGGACTTGACCGGAAGTCGTTGATTTACGTCCTCAAGCGTCCGCAAGCGTCCACACGATGAGGAGGCCACTTGCGAGGGATCCCCAATTTTTTTTGGCGCTCCCAACTAGCTTTGAGGGATGACACGGATGATGACATGGGCAACACACAAAGTGTCTCGACACCCTCAGAGACTTGAGAAGCGTAATTTGACGAGCGGACAAGCGCTTCATGTTTGTCAGAAGCTTGTGCAAAAGCAGGCCAGCCAAGAACCAGGCATATTACGCAGGCTTGAGCATTGGTGCTGTGTCGCGGTCGCAGCTCCAGTGGGGAAAGCGAAAAACATGCCAGTTAGATGACTTGAAGCGTGTCATTTTTTCGTGCCCCGGTGCGGGAATCGTAGCTCTTAGCGTGTCAGACGTGGTTTTGCTGCGCAGGCGCAGTGTTTTGTGAAGGTTCACGCTTGCGTTGCAAATCCATTGTGATTCGCGTTTCAGGGTTGACAGGTCTCTTGTAACAACTCTGGCCACGTCTCTCGTCATGACTTTCATCACATCTTTCATCATCGCATCTTTCATCACGTGTCTCGACGCGCCTCTCGTCGCGACTACGCAGTGTCTCTCATCACGTCTTTCTTGGAGACGTCTCCTGTCATCGTGCGTCGTCACCCCTCGCGTCACGTCTCCGCTCACGTCTCTGGTCGCGACACTCGCCAGGTCTCTTCTCACACGTCTTTGCCGTTCCGTCTCTGGCAACGTCTCGCGTCCTCGTCACGTCTCTTGTCGCACCTCTGGTCACGTCTGTTGTCACGTCTTTGGTCACGTCCTTTGTCACGTCTGTCGTAACAACTCTGGTCCCATCTCTCCATCTCTCGTCATCACTTTCAACACACCTCTCATCATGTGTCTTGACGAGCCTCACGACTCCGTCACATCTCCCGTCCTGCCTTTTGTGGTCTTTCTCCTGTCTCCCCACCCTCGTCACGTGTTTCGTCAAGCCACGGCGAAAGCGATTCAGCCCACCCAAAGCGCGCAGAGGGTTCACTGTGCAATCTCAAAATGCGCACCGCGCCACAGCGAGATCTATTCGAGCCGCCCAAAGCGCGCAGAGGGTTCACTTTGCGTGCTGAAAATGTGCACCGCGCCACAGCGAGAGCGATTCGATCCACCCAAAGCGCGCAGAGGGCTCACTTTTTGCAATCTCCAAATGTGCACCGCACCGAAGCGAGAGCGACTCAACCCAACGAAAGTGCTCGCCTGCCACGAAATCTGCACGCAAGCTGGAACGCGCCGCGCCTGCCGCGAATTCGGCACGAAAAGCTCTAAATTGCTGCGCCTGTCACAAAAAATCGGGACGTTACCAAATGCGTGACCAGCTACGTGACGATAGATGTGACAAGAAACGTTGTCACATGAGACGCGACAAAGGACTTGACCAAAGACGTGACTAAGAGACGTGACCAAGGAAAAAAAAGAGACGTGACAAGAGCGCTGTCACGAGAAGCCTCACAAGGGGCATGACCAGAGACGTGACTTGAGACGCCGCCAGAGGCGTGACTATACACAAAAGAGGAATAGCCATATACTCTGCGTGGCGACATGGCTGGAGACATGAGAAAGACCACGAAAGACAGGGCGGGAGATGCGACGGAGTCGTGACGTGAGGCGCGTCGAGAGATGTGTTGAAAGTGATGACAAGAGACGGGAGGAGAGTTGTTACGACAGACGTGACAAAGCACGTGACCAAAGACATGACAAGAGACGTGACCAGAGGCATGACGATGGATGTGACAAGAGGAGAGCCGTGAGAGACGTGACGAGAGATGCGAGAAGAGACGTGACGAGGATCGTGACTCGAGAGGTTACCAGAGACGGGACGGCAAATAGGACAAGAGACGTCTGAGAAGAGACGTGGCGAGGGTCGTGACAAGCGACGTGACCAGAGACGTGACGCGAGGGGTGACGACGCGCGCGACAGGATCTCCAAGAAAGACGCGACGGGAGGTCGTGACGAGAGGCGCGTCGAGACACGTGATGAAAGATAAGATGAAAGTCATGACGGGAGACGTGGCCAGAGTTGTTACGACAGACGTGTCAGAGGACGTGGCCAAAGACGTGACCAGAGGCGAGGAGAGTCGCGACGAGACGCGGGATAAGGCGTGGCCAGAGATGTGACGAGAGATGCGACAAGGGACGTGACAACAATCGTGACGCGAGAGGTTGCCAGAGAAGGGGCGGCAAAGACGTGTCAGAAGAGACGTGGCGAGGGTCGTGACCAGAGACGTGACCAGAGACGTGACCAGAGACGCGACGCAAGGGGTGACGACGCGCACGACAGGATCTCCAAGAAAGACACGACGGGAGATGCTACGGAGTTGTGACGAGAGGCGCGTCGAGACACGTGATGAAAGATAAGATGAAAGTCATGACGAGAGACGTGGCCAGAGTTGTTACGACAGACGTGACAAAGGACGTGACCAGAGGCGTGACGATGGATGCGATGGATGTGACAAGAGACGTGCGAGGAGAGTCGCGACGAGACGTGGGACAAGGCGTGACCAGAGACGTGACGAGAGACGTGACGAGGATCGTGACCGAGAGGTTGCCAGAGACGGGACGGCAAATATGACGAGACACGTGTGAGAAGAGACGTGATGGGGGAGACACTACGTCGTCGCGACGAGAGGCGCGTGGCGAAAGATGCGATGATGAAAGATGCGACGAAGGTCATGAGGAGAGACGTGGCCAGAGTTGTTAATTACAAGAGACCTGTCAAGGGACGTGACCAGAAGCATGACTAGCTACGCGATGATCGATGTGACAAGAAACGTTGTAACGTGAGACGCGACAAAGGACGTGGCCAAAGACGTGACTAAGAGACGTGACCAAGAAAAAAAGAAGACGTGACAAGAGCGCTGTCACGAGAATCCTGACAAGGGGCATGACCAGAGACGTGACTTGAGACGCCACCAGAGACGTGACTATACACAAAAAAAAGGGAATAGCCCCGAGACTGTGCGTGGCGATAAATGTCCTAAGAAACGTGTGAGCAGGGACGTGACGAGATTGGGCCAGAGACGTGACGAGAGATGTGACAAGAGACGTGACGCGAGGGGCGACTCATGCGTGACAAGAGACGCGACGAGAGTCGCCAAGAAAGACGTGGCGGGAAACGCGAGTCGTCCTGTCGTCACGAGACACGTGATAAGAGACCAGAGACGCGACTTGAGGGGTGACGACACATGACGAGAGACATGAGGGGAGTCGCCAAGAAAGACTTGATGGGAGACGTGACAGAGTCGTGACGAGAGGCACATGATGAAAGGTTTGACGAAAGTCATGACGAGAGACGTGGCCAGAGTTGTTACGAGAGACGTGACAAATGACGTGACCAAAGTCGTGATTAGAGACGTGACCAAAGACGTGACTATAGAAACGTGACTAGAGTCGCGACGCAAGATGTGACAAGAGTCCACTTTCGTGTCCGCATTCGGGTTCGTGGCTTCTATCTTGGTTATAAGCTCACGTGAGAGAGCTGTACTTGTAGAGTCGAGATGATTTGGTGTGCAAGCGACAGCATGGCCATATGTCATGGCTCATTTACGGAGGAGATGCGGAGTACTACACTCAAACAAGTCAAATTATCCGTTACTCCTTTTCCGAGATCACCAATGAAGCCCGGGTCACCGATAGCTGGTCTGGACGAAGGCTTACATATTCTGCCCTTTACAGGTTGGGGTTGTAAGATATTGAGCCCGCCCGGACTTTCATGCTCCGCAATGACAACTCAGTGTGAGCAGCAAAATGCGTTGCAGCAAAGGGCCAGCCAGCTCACCAGTCCAAGCGTTAGAGTGCGGTTGCACGTTCAATTGCGTGTTTGCCACGCAAACCCCCACAGGCAGTCTTACAACAACTTATTATGCTATGAATTTGAGTTTGGAACCCCCTCAAAGGTCTCAAAGGTGGTTGGTGGACATGAATTCCCATGTAAATGATCCACCAACAGTCCCCATATCAACGTTCATACCCATTACAGCATTCCGCCGAGCAGGTGCGCCACAGCTTTCAACTTTGCAGCATGGTAGTTACTTCAGCATTGAAGGCAAATTTTCCGTGTCACTTTCCAAATATCATTGCCAGACGTGGCATGAATTTTAACACCGCTTGCCTCTTTGTTTATACTTGGTTTTCCCCCTTCAACTAGCAACAAGCCAACTTTTTGCAGGGGGTCGAATTCTGGCCCAGTTTTGTGTGGCGTTTCCGTTTCGAGTTGGGAGGTCGGTGAATTTGGAGGATCAACCCTTGGTCAATCTCCTAGCTGCTTGTCCAAGGGTCAAATCGTCCCTTCTGGATGAAGCTCCCGATTATCTTGGGTTGACTGTTTGCCTGCCAAGCTTTTTCTAAAACAACACGCTGACCCGATTCTGTGTCAAAGCTCCTCACTACAGTGGGAACCCACCAGGGCGTCCGTTTTCGAGGAAAAGGGATACAAGAACTTCTTTGGCTAAGGGAGGTTTCTCGGACCCTCTCCAAGAAGGTGGGCGACGCTCACAGGACACGAACCCCTTCTCTGCCATGCGGCAGCCTGGTACCTGGCCCGAGCTCTACTCCTCTAGCGACAACTGGATATGAAGATTTTCGGTCGCGTCACCAGTTTTTGGTTTTGTGGCCATGTGCAGTTGACTCTGGCTTTTGTCGAGGTAGATTTTGAATTGAACAAGCACCCTCTTTGCATACATCCGAAACAAGATTCGTGCCGCGACCCGCGTTACATACCTCAAGAAGACGACATAGCCATATCATCACGGTCTGGCATTTGCTTCAGTCATACGGTCCATGGCTCTTCTTGTTGGTACGGAGGCCTTTAGTTGCCGAAGGAGTTCGTGTGATGTGTCCTTTGATTTTGGTGGTCTCTACCAGTACCTGGTATATACAGCTGCCCCTTTACAAAGGGGCAAGGCGTCGGGCCTTGGAATCAGCTGGAGTCCGTGAACTGAGTGGTACTTGGTAAGAATGGTGGGCAGCACAGGGAGACATGACATGGTTTGGTCAGAAGCTTGTTTCTCCGGGGGACCCCGGATGTGCAAGATTTGCAGAATAGAACCCGCAAGCCTTGACATACGTGGGAAGCTGTTGTTGCTTCTTGGTTCGCAAGAAGAACGGTACCCTTGAATCAAGTGGAGAGGTGTGGGGAGACCAAAGCCGAATTAACGTTTGCGTGGCTGGTCAGAATGCAACAGAGCTTGCACACGTTTGTTTTGCGTTCCATCTGGAGGAGGACCCACAAGCAAGACAAAAGGCGTCGCATGATTGTAGTGCAGCAGTTCACGTGTATCCTCTCAAAAGCAAGCACAGCGCCAGCGATCAAAGCTGACAGCATGTCAAATGTGGAATCGCCCATCTCCGTTGCCATTGTTGACGCCTGACCCCTTGGTCTTCAGAAGAGAAGTTTCCTTGGGGTAGTAAATAGTGTCATGCAGCTTTAGCGCTGGCCCGCCTGTCCTTCTTGACCCAGAGTTCATAGATGTGACAGCCTTGCTTTGCTATTTAGTCATCGCATTTTAAGGAAGGGCAAAAAGTACACATAGTCCGAAGGGCTTCTGTGCTAGGATTGTTTGTTTCTGTGAAAGTCACTCAGCTGAGGAGTACAAAGAATGGGCCAGGGCCAGTCGAGACATTTGCACGTCTTTCATAAGCAAGCTCGGCATTCACCTCTCGAAGGAGCGCGGGAAGGGTGGGGGGGATCCATGTGCGGCACTTCTCATTCAGTTATATTTTATTACTGGGTTGTTGAAAATCCTTCCAACCCGCAAGCTAGATGGTAGCGCTTCCTTTGTACTGATTGCGATTCGTTGGGGATTGTCTCCCCCTCCCCCCATTTTGGACGATCCGGTATCCTTCCTGGCCCGCAAACCAAAGCAATGGACAGCGGTTGTCAAGATGTAGTTCTGGTTGATGACAAGGAAGCGAGGAAGCGGCTTGGAGTTGTCCTCGAACAGCCAAGCGCAAAATAGACGACGGACATACGGGTATACCCAAGAAAGCCGCAAGCGCAAGTGGGATCAACAAGATCACAATCTGCCGGCTTTAGGATGAACGCCGTTTTCTGCAAAGCGTTCGACGCTCAAAATCTGAGCAGTGAATTGATTGCATTGCATCAGCACATTTCTTGTTTTTCGAATCCATCCAGGAACGTGAAGACTTGGAATCCGCCACAGCCACAAACAAAACAAGAGCCGATCGCGCAGGAGGAAGCCGAGGACATGGAACTGGTGACCTGGGCTGCTGTGTATCCAAAGAAGTCCGAGCCGGTGACGCACTACTACCACGCCCACCAGGAGAAGGGCAGTTGGCTTCAGCTTTAGGTGGTGCTGACCCTCCCAAAAAGAAGGGTGTGCTTGTGTCTCTGTGTGTGTTTCCCTTTTTAAGGTTGGTTTCAAGGGAAACCAAGGGGAAACCACAAATTGGGGGTTCCCACCTTGATACGTGCCCATATGGAGCCTGAAAGAGGGACCCCGATAGAGGAACACTGTCTTTCAGGGATCCCTTTCAGGTTCCATGCTTGTTCTTTTTGGAAGGGTGTTCCAGAGCATCCAACCAAGGCACCGCTTGCTAGTATCGTTGGTTGCTCAGATGGCATGCATTCGTGAGGCTACCATGCGCAATGCTGACACATTATTGATCCCTCTTGCAATGTTGAGTGCATCGCGGGTAGCTGCATAGCTTGTGGTTTTTGAACCAGCGGAGAACTGGGAAGGGAAGTGCTCTCAAGCTTCGGCAGGAGTCCATTGTTAGCCTCTTGCCTGCCACTCGAGGCCAGTTTTGAGCTGGCAGATGCGAGCGGGTCGTTTGACCTTTGACCCTCCAACTTAGCAGGAACGGACGAACCCTGCTATTTTCTTAGCCGGCTTCACCACACCACCAGCTCAAGGGGAGAACGAGGCGCACAGTTGTGTAGTGACTTTATAGTGGTTGTACATCCGATTCGACTCCTGGGTGAGGTTTGGGGGTAGTGGACACCACCGTAGATATGCTCTAAGCCGACCATTCGAGTGACCTGATGCGTCCAAAAAAAGCAGCGAGGCAACTGACGTGGAAGTTTGGTTGACCCTAGCAACTCAGCCGCTTGTTTTCTTTGCTGGCATTTGGCCAGAAGTGGTTTTTTTTGTTTCCATGGCTAAAGAGAAATATGGCCCTGGCCTGCAAATCAAGGGAACCAGAACGAACCTGCCGGTGGTTTTGTCGCTTCCGAGGCTTTGTGCTCTACGTGAAGATGCCGGAGCCCGTCACTCCTCTGACCATCTCTGACCCGCGGGGAGCACCGCCGGTGGAGGACTTCGAGTGGTTCCAGGCCCGAGGGAAGCTGGCGCAGGTGACAGAATATGGCTGTGGGTTAAAACCAGTGGGATCCCATTTTGGGGTAGGTGCACCTCCATTTTAGTCTATTTTAGTGGGGATTGTGTTCACTGGGGTACGGAGTTTTGACATATTATGGAGACCCCTAATGTGGTGTTTTCCTGGTTTTCTTTGAAGCCAACCCAAGAAGGGCACCCTCAAACAACAACGCTCTCCCACAGAAAACGGTTTGGATGTGGCGAATCTGTGGATCCACCCCTGTATTATATTATACGAGCGCTAAACAATTTCTGAAAAATATATCCAACGGGGGGAAGAAGAGGCGCAATCCACAAAGAACACGTCAAAACCATTTTCTGGACAAATGGGTGGTTTTCCCTTGGTTTTCTTTTGAGCCAACCTAAAAAGCGTACCTTCAAACAAAAACACACGCCCGTGTGGCCTGTTGTGGGAGTCAGGGACCCGGTCTAGACAGTTTGTAATAATCCGGTTGCGATTGCTTTCACCAATAAACGTTCTCATGTGTTTTTCTCCGCATCCGATTTGGACATTCAACGGGTCACCCGATTGTGGGCAGCATCCAGCTCATGGGTTAGAGCCCAGTAGATCATCCAATTGGCAGGACAAAGGTGACATGGGAGTGGACGGGGATCCACCTTTTCACCGCCCCATGGAGTTCTATGCTGAGGCTCGGGACGCCCGAAGACGGTTTGAGGCAAATGTCGCCGGTTGCGAAGCCTTGAGGGACGGTCAACATGGGATCCCCTTTGGCTGAAAAGGGGAACTGCAAGGAAGCCAACCCCCCACTTTGAGACAAACCCAAATGCCGAGGGTTGACGACCAATTTGACGGGTCCTGTTACGGGATGACCAGGCCCCACGTGACAAGCTTTCACCACGGCATACATGAGACTGCAGCGGTACAGCCAGGTCTTTGAGGGGGAACGGGCACCAACAGGTGGGGCTACAGTGGTGACACTTTAACAGCATGCGGGGAAAAAGAGATAGGGACACAAAGCGAAAGAGAGATTGAGAGAGAGACCACTTGCCACATGCAAGGAATTCAGCTGCTTTCAGCTTGACATGTGATCCATATCATCTGGTGTGACATAATGTCCAGCGACATACACTGAATTGCGAGGAGGGGGACATCTTGATCTTTCCCTCCTTCGCAATTCACAAGGCTGGCGCGTGGTTTCGCTCGCATCTCAATAGGCAGAGCGCTTGAGCTTGAGCATCGGAGGGCAGCGTTGTCCAGAGCTTGGTTCCTCATTTCCAACCAACGTTCTTTTCAAAATCGACTAGCCGTTTTCCACGGTTGCTGGGTTTTCTGGACAGCGGATCCCTGGGTTCGGAATGGGCGCGGCCGCCTGGGCATTTCTCAAGGCAATTGGGTGCATGTTCTTGAGCGGTCGACATAGACCGGGTTTTGCATTTCACCTGGCCTTGTAGCAAAATTTAAAGCTTTCTTGGTTCGAAGGGTTTGAGGACTTTTGCTCCGATTTCCCATCCACTGTGCTACCACCCTCCATGCGCTAGGTGCCGCCGCACATCGGCGAGAGCACCCGGGTGGTCTTTCCAACAAACTGCCATTTGCCCAAGAGACCGCGGAAGTTGAGCGACAAGTTCCAGGCTGGAGGGTTGGAGGTTTGCAGGCTGGCTTTGTAGCATTGGAAGCTGTGGATGTGTGTGCACTGGGAAAATGTGTCGGGCTGGTCTTTCTGGAAGGTTTTGTGGTACATGTTCGCCTTGAGATCTTGCCATTCGCTGATTGAGCAGACCAAATCACCGACTGATTGCGCTCCTTGGAACTGATGCGCCCATCCCCACTGGTTTGGGCCCGGCCAAGGGCGCAGGTTAGATCCCCCCAGAAATTGGGCCAAGAGTTCTTGATTGTTGTGGCAAGTATCTATACCCCAATTCGGGGGTAACCATGTGCAACCACATGCATTTGCAAGGATGGAGCTTACGACAGATTATACTCGGGAGGCAACTACAGTTTCCAACATGCGTTTGTTGTTCATGCTCGGGAAACCCAATCAACCGAGCAATCACATGTTTTGTGGATTCTGGGGGAACGTGGTCAATTGCTTAGGGGAAACCCAATTTTATGTGTGCAACCGCCCCTTGCAGACTTCAGCACAGCCAAGCAGTCCCGCGCCACATCCGCCCGTTTTGAGGGCCGCGAGTGCCCTTTGGACGGCTGGGAGCGCATTGCACGGTGGCAGCAGGCGCTGCCACAACTCAGCTGGGACAAGCTGAGCATCGGACGAAAGAGGGGGTTCATTGGGGGAGGGCATTCTGGCATTCGTTGAGGTTTATTGTCACTCCTAGCCAGTTTGAATTGGGCATCCTTGCGGATGCAGGCTTCAAGGTGGGAGAGGAGCAGGAAGTCACCAACAGGCTTTGGTACAAAAGACGAGTGGGACAGGCCCTAGGGGCCCGTGTGGCTGTGGGGTTGGGCACGGAGGGTGCTAGTCTCTGATCGACAAGCCGCAAAGGTCAAACGACCTCTTTACTTGGGTTGGTAGGGGCAGTCATCAACCTCTTAGGGATTTTAAGCAACCCTTCGGGGGCATGGCAAGGGAGCCATTATCATCATTCATAGGTTCGGAGTTTTGATCACGCAGCATTCGGAGGAGCCACATTTTTCGCGCTTAAGTCGAGTACCCATGCCCAGCCCCTGCTGAGCAGATCCTGATGTACATTCTAACATGCTTGCTTTGTCATTGACATTCAGATTGCTGATCGGCATTTGGTTGCGATAGGGGTGTTGAAAAGCAGAGACCCAAACCAAGCAACGCGTGTTGAGAACGGGGGGCTATGAGCCGCTTTGCATACCCTGCCAATGTGAACCAATCCTGACAGGGAATGGACCACAGATTTCAGGAAATCTTGTTGTCCCATAAACCGTGCGTGTAAAAGGGTTTTCGGAGACCCACCGGAGTCCCCACCCCTTGCCATGGCAACCTGGAGGCTAACCTTGTGGGTTCACCGAAAGTGGACCATGGGAAACCCAAAGGTTGAAGCTGGAGCGTTGAAACCTTGAGCCATGAACCATGGAAAAGCCAATCAAGCTTAAGGCCGGGATGTTCAAAGGCAGGGTCTTCTTATGGAAAATCGGATTGGCCAACACGAGATATGTTCAACTGGTAAACCGGATTTCACCTGGTGAAGACGGGTTTCACCGGGGCGGCTCGTGGCTTCGTTGTTTCTTCGAGGCGCCGACGGCTTTCGGACGGCCGGTGGCGCCATACGTGGCACACGCCCAGCAGGCGCTGGCCCTGGCGCAGACCCTGGAGGACGGGAGCGACTCAAGGGGTCGAGGGCAAGGGTACCATGGGAACTTGCGGAGAGCGGCTGTTTGCTTGCTTGTTTGCTTGTTTGCTTGTTTGATGGGGTTTCGATAGCCAAGCTGTGTTCCTTCAAAAAGGAGATTGAGTTTGCATTGCTGGTGATTTTAGTGAGATGAACTTTTCCTTTTTGGTCGTTGGTCTCTTTACACAACTTGCATGCTCTCCCAGGAAGCTAGTCTGTATATGCCTTCAAGATGGCTTTTGAGAGGACACATGGTTTTTGCACCCATGTACGGCGTGACTTGTACACCATTCCTGCAAGCTGAAGCTCGCGGCTGGTGCCGAATGACGTGCTACCGCCGTGGGTCTCGATATGTTGGGTAGTATTGACACAGTCGGCCTGATGGCCTTCCCCCCTATATTATTTGTGCAATTGGAATGTTTGAGAACTGGATCGTCCCACAATCTCCAAAGACCTGATGGCCACCACACACACACATACACACCTCATGCGAGGGGCACATTTAGGTTCCATTTGGAGCATGGTGTAATTGTTGTGCGATCTCCTCCACTAGCATACGGTGGAGATGGCATTTTTGCATCCAAACATCTGCCGCCAATTCTACAGACAACTGCATCTGCCCTCAAACCTGGATTCTGGTTAATTTCCAGTAGAACCTGTGGCTGGTTTCCTCGAGTGCAAGCGATGACGGACAGATGAAACTCTGTGTCAACAACTCCATTCTCGGCTCAAGTATCTTGGTCCCTATTGGGATTGCACAGTCTCAGCGCTGTGGCGTCATGCGCCGGTCCACCAGATTGCAACACCAATTTCATGACTTCGCCTCACGTGGGGTTTTCAACTTTGACAATCATCCTCACTGGTTTGTGGGACACATGTCCAAAGGCAAAGTGAAGATCGAGCAGAAGATGAAGGACGTCGACATCCTGCTGGAGGTCCGGGATGCTCGGGCGCCGTTCAGCTCAGCGCAGTTTGATCTGACGTCAAAGATCGGGGACAACGTGCAACGCCTGGTGATCCTGAACAAGGCGGATTTGGTGACGCCGAATGTTGGAATTGCAATGAGGAACTTAGTCGAGGAAGCTGGGCAGCCATGCTTGCTGACGACAGCTTCGGAGAACAAGAACTTGATCAAAATCAAGCAGTTCGCCTTGGACAACGTGCGGGCAAAGTACCCGCGCACGCTGGGCTTGATGCTCATGGTGGTTGGGTTGCCAAATGTTGGCAAGTCCACCATCATCAGCGGCTTGAAGAGGATAGCCTTCTCAACCGCCAGGCACCAGGGCACCAGCAGCAAACTCATGCAGGGTGTGAAATGGACGGTGCCCAAGGCCAGCAAACGCCCTGGACAGACCCGGGACGTCTCCTTCTTCCAGCTGACAAACCACCCTCGCCTGTATTGCTATGACACGCCCGGAGTGTCGCTGCTGAAGAGGCAGAACGACCCAGAGCGCAATGCAAAACTGGGGGTACTGAACTGCATGCCCGACCACATCGCCGGGGAGACATATTTGGCGGACTATTTGCTGTTTCGCCTAAACCGGGATCGGGTCTTCGACTACGTTTCCGAGCTGGAGCTGCCGGGCCCCACGGACGACGTGCGGTACTTGTGCGCCCACATCACCGACCAGCTGCTTCTGAAGAATGAGCCCCAGTCTGTGACCAACGTGGCCTCTGGCGCGGTCTTCTTCCTGAAGCTCAGTTCGAAGTTGATCTCTTGACCCTTTTCTTTTTCCCTTTTGGCTGATCGACCTGTTTGTTTCCCCGGCCCTGTTTCGTAGATCACCTGGCATTTCCCGGTCCTTTGGTCAGGAGAGCCTAAACGGGTTAGTGAACGGGTTGGAGCTTGAACCAAAGGACACACATGTGTGTATCCATTTAGAACCCATTTGTTAAAACCCATTCACGGCTCACTCAATTCGTTGACCTTTTTGTTTCTGCCTAAAACCACAGCCGTTTCGTGCTCTTTTTTTGTTGATACACACCCGCATTTTATTTCCGGGTGCTTGGTGAGGAACCTGTGGCGCGCAGGGAGGTTGGGCAAGGTGTGCCTGGACTACGTGCCCAACCCCGGGGAGGTGGAGCGGTTGCGTCAGCTCAGGGCCCAGACGGAGCCGCCAGGGCCCTGGGGCCCAGCGTGCTACCCGGAGGCGCTTTCGCCGTTTTTTTTGGTGGTTGCAAATGGCCAGCGGTGACTCAACCCCTTGATGTTTCAACCATGAAAAGTAATTAGCAGCTCCTTGCAAAGCTCTAGCAACTTGAATGTTTAAGCAATGCCTTGTTTAAACAACCGGCCTGCGGGTTCCTCCATGTTTTCAGGGGGGGTGGTTGTTTCAACCAATTGCGCAGCCGGCGCAGGTGCCGGAGGGCTTGGAGCTGAGGAACCGCACACAGGGGCCGGGCTTCCGCGGAGCCACGCGAGCCGCGGAGACACGGAGGAAAATGGAGCGACTGCCACGTGACCAGTGCCCACTCCACCCCAAGAAGAGCCATTTTAGTAGGTCAGTCTTGCTTCCTGGTAGCATTGGGGTTGCAGCAAAGCCTAAATAAGCCTTTCTAACCATGTTAGTCAGGGGAGACATGGGGAGTCGCTGTTTCATTACCAACACGAGGGGACTCGTCAAATTGTCCCATGTTCTTTAGGGAAACGCGCCACGTGCTTCAATCGCCTTGAGCAAAGGCTAACCACATGCCAAAAGAATGCTCCACTCAAGTTCAGCAGAGCAGCCAGGTTTTTCTTGATGTGAGCCACACTCAAAATAACTTTGTTGCCCAGTGGTGCCCCTTTTCCCGATTTTTTGGAAAAGGGTTCCCCTTTAAACTCAACCAACAAGAAAAGGGTGCCCATTTTTTCCCATGGCCACTGGGCATCTGAGATAAGGGTGCAATCCTGGCATCCTTCGCACGGGGCTTCCCGCAGAGCCAGCTCGGCAGTATCTTGATTCTGCTTCGGTACTCCCGACTTTGCCCGCCGAGAAAGCTCGCTTTGCAGGATCCGTACATGAAGATGTGGGAGGCGCGATCCAATTGGGATTTTCGCCGAGAACTCGGAGAACTTGCTGGCTACGTCAGCATTAGGGACATTTCTTCTCAATCGACCAAACAGCCTCTTGATAGCCATCAACAGGCTATGGATTTGAGCAGTGCAAAATTAGGAACTCGATGTGAAATGGAAGCCGATGGGAAGCCAAACTCCTTCAGATGGGCCTCCTGAACTTGAACCCCCGCAGACCTGACTGACTACACCCGATTCAAATGAATCTCAGCTGAGCAAATGCGTTTACATGATCAAGTTGTGGCACCCTCCAAAAAGAAGAGTTCTTGGTTCGGAGAACCCACTTGACCTTCTCCGCACCCTTGAAAGGCATGGGTACACACGAAGGAAGCCGTCCAATCTGTATGCATCAAGCGTAAACAAGGGGCTCAGCTCATCAAACACAGGGTTGGGTTCTGCAGGTCCAGAACCAAGTCCTGGCTGTTCTCCAGTTCGGTGCCTTGGACGCGCGTGCCTGGCTTGCAGCAGGCAGGGGAGGGGTGTGGGAGAGCTGGAATGTCCCCAGGCGGAAGTTGGGATTTTCTGGATCCACCACATCTGAGCCATCGGGTTGAGGCATGGAGTGGAAATTTGGTTTGCCGCCAGCAGAGACTGCCACTGGCCTCCAAATGCCTGGGTTTGGTTTGGAGACTGACGGCCCGACTGCTCAGGTCACACTTCCCAGCCCTGCTTACATCCTGGAAAAACTGGCCACCAGGATCCGTTGCCTTCCTAGACAAGGAGCAAAGAGTCATTCCCTTTCCAGCGAATGCGTCCAGATCGGTCGAGCTCTGGCTGTTTTGTGCCAGCTCCAGCCATCGGAGGCAACGCTTCGGCGCTGGCAGCGGTAGTTCTGGACTCTCGGAATGAAGGCGAGCCGCCTGGCTGCCAGGGGTCTCTTTGGACAGGTTTAAAAATTTACAGGTTTAGGTTTACTAAACGGGGGGTTTCTGAAACTGTGTGCCCCTTCTTGGATGGTAACGGGAAACCCAAGGAAAAGCAGTTTGTCGGGTTCCCCTATTTTGACACATCCTGAATATGAACCGCAATCCAATCTTATTTGCTGGTTGGAGGCAAAAGCTGAGACAGAGCGGAGGTGGCGGTTCTTGTTTTGAAGTGCCGCTACTTGTGTTCACCTTTTTGCTATTCACCATCTACCAAAGCGGGCACCCGATTTGACTTTTTGAGACGTGTGCTTATGCCTATGGTTCAAGGATCCATGCGTTTGCTTCAGTTGTCTGCCCGTTCAGCGCCAGCTTTAGCGTGCCATGCCCTGCCCCTCAAGATTCCTGCGGGAGCGCTTCAAGCAGTGCCAGACATGTCATATTCGATAGCTATTGTTGGTGTGTGGGTGGGGGGGGGGACATCAAGGCCGCTCATTTTACAAAAGAAAAGCAGAGTCCTCCTAATGGTCTCATGTCCACTTGGGGGAAATGAGAAACTCACATGCGAATTACCTTTACAAAATAAACAGTTTCATTCAGAGGGGTTCTTGTCTGGTGTCTAGGTGGCTTCAAGCACGCTGGGATGCGAGTGAGCGACAAACAAAGAGATTCCATCCATGCAGCCCGACTCGGATTGGGGCCTTCCATGGGCTTGATGTGTAGGGCGAGCTCGCCGGCACGGCGCCCAAAAACCCGACATGGCGACACCTCGGAGAATTTCAAATCTCAGGTACTACCTGGACGCAGCACTGATGTTCGCGCAGGCTTTGCGGCTTGATCCTGGCATCAAGCCTGAGCTGGACCTTTGCCAGGGCCCAAGACACAAAGCCTGGCTAACTGGATCCAATCTTACCTGTCGTGGCTTGAAAATGCCACATCCGCCCAAGTCCCAAGCAGAATCCATCAGATTCCCAGTCTTTTCTTGGTTTGGCTTTCCAAGCAGCCGGAGATCGTCCAAGGGACCGTCGGGAGATTGAGCAATGGGAAGCCCTAGGCCCAGCCCGACGGTTCCTTGGAGTGCCTTGCGACTGGGTTTTGGGGTCCAGCCTGAGGTTTGGATCAGCTGGTCCCCAAGAAGGTCCGAAAGCAGTTCAAGGCGCCAACAGTCGGCATCAAATTGCAAGTCGTGTTCGGCTTTGACCTCTGTGCACGGTGCTAAACTTACATGTCAGGGTTGAAAGGACCCGTACTTAAAAATGGTTTAAACCGCTGTGTAAACAATCTTTGCGTCTCTTTTCGGAAGGGCCCAGGCCAAGCTGGTTTGGACAAATTTGGATCTGTCTTTTTTGAGGGTTCCCGTGTTTTGGTTTAAAGGGAAACCAAATGCAAACCAGCCATGTCTGAGGTTCCCTTATTTTAAGACACACTCATTTGGCCTCTGGCAGGATGCGTACCGGAACCTCGCGCAATGGAGGACCCGGCAGCTTCAGTGGTCAGCCAGGGATTTCCAACAGCCCTGGAAGTTCAGCATGGATCTGACTAGAGGCTTTTGGTTTGGATCATATTCCTCAAGGGACCTGGAGGCTTCCATGGAGGGTACATAAGTTTAGATAGAGTCGCGTTCTTGGTTGGTTGAAAGCTTAGACGGAAGCCAAATGGATAACCACCATTTGGGCATCTTCCTATTTTGTCGCATACCCAGATTGTTCCACGCTTGTCCGCTCGCGAGGAAGCTGGTGAAATCCTGGGGAGCCTCGGATGGAAGGATTGTCAGGGTGGAGTTTGGAAGAAATCCATGGTCGTGGTGAAACATGGTTTGAGGGCTGCTTCCTGTGCCAATGAGATCCTCTTAATGAGCTCCTGCCATGATGGGCATATTGGGGTCACAAGGGTCCACCATGGAAACGAGGGAGAGGCTTACCGGATTGGAACTCCATTAACTTCACGAATGAATTCGCGGACGCACTAAACATCGGGCATGGATTCTTGGTACTTGTCAGGCTAGGGCCGGAGCGCTGCTTAAGCCATCTCCGGTGTCTCAGATGGAGAGTTTGAAGGGGTGTCTGGACCCAAGCGCAGCATATGCCAGGCAAGACTGCTGCTTGCGCAGCACTTTGTTTCCTTCACTCCCATCTGGTCCCAGAATTTGACCCTGAAGGGTTTTGTCAAACCATCAGAAAATAAGGATCAGAACATCAGGATCATATATATTTTTTGTCAACTGTGCTTTTGTCGGATAAGGTTTCAAGTGCGACAGAGGCCAATTTGGGCTCAGGTTTTTCTGGAGCTTCTCACTGCCCACGCGCCGTGAGGTACCAGCCCGCCAGAGGCAGAGGTGACGTGGCCTGGCGGCACTAAGGGGAACCCGGATTCACAAAACCCCTCTTTGATCAATACGGGGTCAGTACGGGGTTGTCCCTTTTTGGTGGGGATTCATCACTTTTTTGGGTGACATCTCCCTATTATTAAGGGCTTATTAATCCGAAATCCTCAGTATCAATGTTCCCCTTCCGATGTTGCCACGCAAGCCACCAGATCCGTTGAGGAACTCAGTCCAGGACTCCCCAGTTACGTTCCAGCCCAGCTTCAATCATCGAGAATGTCCAATTAAGGCGACCGCAACCGGGACCCCCCATATGAGAAGCCGAGGCTGTTCCTCCACCCGGAGGTGAATGGTGATGGCCGGTGCCAGCGCATGTGCGCGGCTAACCTTGAGCCGGTCTTCAGGAGCATTGGGTGTGTTACCCTTGGCAGCTTGGTTGAAAGGGAGGCCAAAGGGAAAGGGAAACCACGATGTTTGGGAGCCCCAAACAAGAAACGTGCAAGACCAAGCCATCCGGCATGCTCAGCTCAATCACACCTAAGCTGGGGAATCTGGCCCAAGATACTGGCACAGTGCCCCCCCTTCAAAAGGCTGCCAGAACCCTGGTGAGCACGACTGCCTCCATTTTAGCGCGTGCACGTATGTTGTTCGCACCTTCCTCAACCTTTGTGAAGGGGCGATGTTTCAAGGGTACACATGACTGTTGAGCACGTGATGGCTCCATTCTGGTGGACTCATTCTCAACGGTGATAGCGCGAAGTTACAACTGGACTATTGCAGAAGTCTGCGTTCTGCACCTATCTCTGCGTGACAAAGAAAGATCATCATTTCGACGCCTGGTGAGCCACGGTGTTGGAAAGGATGTGGCAAGCTGTTGACATGGTAGTGGGGTCATAGAACTGGCAAGCCGTGGGGAAAAGCATCATTTTACAAGAAGGCAGGAATGTTTAGTGGACAGGCCTCAGTGGGGCTGGAATGTCCCCCATCGGTACAAGGGTTTGATGAAACTCCGAGCGTTTGCGCTTAGCACGTGTTGTTAAACACCATTGGCGAGTCCTCCCTGCGAGGACTTTGAGGATTCTCCCTGCCGTGCACTCGGAGAGGTGCTTGTCTTGTTTCTGAGACGGCCGACAGGTTGTACATAGCATGATTTGCAGGATGTACGCACCGGCGACGTCCTTTTCCCACCCATGAGTCTCGCGTGAGCCCCGTCAAATTCACAGCTTTTTACTGCTGCGTGACTTTGCCCAAAGTCTTTTGTGTCGGATGTCGGATTCAATCCTTTTGAGTCAACATCAATCCTATCAAT